GGGGGGCGCCGCCGGGGATGCGGCCCCGCCCAGGTGCACACCCGGTGCCCCCCTGGCTGCAGGACCCGAGCTCTCGGGGGCAATCAGCGCACACCCGGGATCCTGAACCGGGTAAAGAGCCTGGAACTGGGGTGAGAGGGGAGCGCTCGCTGAGGGTAGGCCGCCACGGGCAGTTTGGGAAGGGGGGCACCTACTGCCTCTTGGGTTGTAGTTGCCCACCCACAGCGGAACTTGATCCACCGCTCTCTTGGGCACACAGTAGGACTACAGGACAGTTAGTGGGAATGGTTAAGCGTCTGGGAGCCCTCTTCTGCAGGCTGGAGCGAATCTTCCGGACTCCCTGGTATCATGCCCTCTTCTAGGGAAATCGGTCTGGACTGGGCAGCTGGGTGGATCCTTCCTCTAGGAGCTATGACCCTTTTGCCCTTGAAGAAAGACCTCCAAGTCCTACGAAAACTGGGACAGGCCCCCCACTGGAGTGCAGACAATAGGTCATTGGTTCTCCAGAAGTACCAGCACAGACATTGCTCTACCCAGCCATGTTTGATGGAGATTGATTGCTGTCACCACCGATTTTATTGCAGTCAACACGATTAGAGAGACAGTTCCTCTCTGCCCAAATCCTCCTCCCTGCAGACCGTTAAGACACATGAACCCAGGTTTCAGGTTGGTCTAACAGAGACAGAAATTTAAAGGAGTAACCGTTTCCAAGTCTCCCTCTCTCCCACCTCAGACTTCAAGGATGGTGGAGAAACGACTGATTTGAAATCTGCAGTTACTGTATCAGTGACTTTTCCATTCATGGAATATTCACTCAGTTTTTCTTATGTCTTCAGTTCTGCTCAGCCATCATAGCTATCCATCGGAGTTTGTGTGTGATCTAGTAATGGCCACCACAATGGAGAATTGTGTATGGAACATTTCTCACAGGTTGCTTTCATTTAATCCCCACAGTGACAGCGAACTAGCTCTTCTCCACTGTACAAATGACGAAGTTGAAGCTGTGAAACATTTGATGATGTACCCCCAACCACAAAGATAAAGGTTGAGCGTTGCTGACTGGCAGCAGCCAACACTGGGTGTTGAATCCCCGTACCATACTGCCACCTACCTACAGCAACTTTCACATCCAGTTCTGTTCGGCTCAGCCCACGCACAGCTGAGACAGACATAACGGTTTACAATGTCCAGCACTGTGCTGGCTCCCAGGTGGGGATGCTCGGGTTCCAGATAATACAGGCGCACTATAGGGGAGAAGCGGCTTGGAACCCAGCTGTTCGGCTAAACGTTTTTGTTTTCCGTTTCAGCTGTTGATGCTCACGTCCTTACACGTATGTACAGCACGTTACAGTCATGGGAAAGCTGGAAGTTTTGAGATGGTTAGCTGTAGGTAAAATTCATCATGGCTGGGTTAGTTTCAGTTAGCTTCATCTCCGTCGTGCACCGCCCACTCCACTGGACCCCAGAGCTCAGGCGGGAACTTAGGAAAGCAGGGAGCTTTGTACTGCTGTCTGAGAACGGATATTCCTAGTCACAGAACAAAATACTAAGGACTCAAAAGATTTGGGACAATGATTGGAGTCTAGCAATGGGAAAGACACGTAAGCAATATTGAAAGATATTATCAATAAAATATTGAAAGATGAATAGAAGTAAAATGAATTGTTTTTTTCCAGGAAAAGGAAGTGAGGGTGGGGGACATCTTTCTCGTTGTCCATTGCAGTTCATCTTGTGTTGATTAGCCCTGCCCATATTTAGTCCATACAAGGTTACTATCCCATCATCTAAAGAGATAAAATTAGAAAAAAGATGAGCAATTGACATAAAAAAACATCTAAGGGCCCCAAGTGACCAGAAGATGGATGCGAATGAGAGAATACGATTCTGTTATTTAGATCTCATGCATAACATTTAAATGAAGCTTAAGCTGTCCAAAATAACCCAGCCTACTCGTTGTGCCTTTTAAACCAAAGAAAAGGCGATAGACAGAGCTGCATTGTGGGTAACTTCGGTCCTGGAGAAGTGAGTGTAGACACTCAGAACCAGAACCTGTGGATGAACAGGTCCAGGAGAGCATGGCCTGCCCCTTGTGTCTCAATATCAGGGTTTCACCTTGCAAGATCCTCTGTCTTCAGAATTAGCTTTAAAATCACAAGAGATAGCAAAGAACCCCTTCCGATTTCAGCCTTGTGCAATGAATGCCTCCCCCTCCCCCCTTTATGGGAAAAAAAACCTACACAGTTTTTTTCCCCCCCTTGGATACACTCAGAAGGAGAGAGAAGGGGAAAAATAATGGTTGCCTCAAAGATGATCCATCTAAGCCTGTTGTTGGGTTGGGTTTGAAGGGGTTGTGTGTGTGTGTGTGTGTGTGTGTGTGTGTGTGTGTGTTTTGTTTTGGGTCTGGGGGGGGCCAGCCACCCAGCTCCCAAATAAATACACACATACAGTCTTATTCTTTCTAATGAATGCCCAGCCTTTGCTTAGCTTGTTTCTAGCCAGAAGCATAAAAGAATGCAACACATCTTTGCATCATTAAACAAATGTTCCAGAGCATAAATTAATGCAGTACATCTTAAAATAATATTCCACAACATAAACCCACTTGTGTATGGCATCTAGGCAACATTAGCAAAGGAATGAAAATGTTCCTAAGTGATTTGTCACTTACAAATGTACATTTCAGTACTGAGAATTTGTTAGGTCCTCCTCAGAGTTCCACATCTTCTCCATCCTTCAGGGCCACAGTTGCTTCCTTTGGTGCCAGCCTAGCCATGTGGGACCTGTGTTCTTGGAACTCCTTCCTAATGAGCTCTAAGGTTGGTCAGAGAGACCAGGAGAGAAAGTTGTGTGATATTTTGGAAGGAAAAGGTACAGTTTGGTTTTTTGAGAAGCCCCTTCTCTCCCCCTTGACTTGAGATCCCGGGGTCTCCACCAGGTACTCATCCTAGTGTCACCAAGTCCTAATTGGGTGTAGGGAGTGCTATTATAAAGATTCTCAGCCTTTCATTTGGATCTTCAGCACCACTGAAGTTGAACAGACAAAAGGCAGCCCAGGTTTGTCTGTCCTTGTAGCCCCACATTGCACCCCTGCCCCCAACCAACTTCACAGTTTTTCATCCCAGTCACCAGCTTGTACCTCCCTCAGCAAATCCAGTCCCCACCCTGCACAAAGGTCCAGCTTTTCTGGTCAAACCCTGACAGAATAGTGCCGCTGTGTGCCTTGCTCCTGTCTTGCCTGAAGACTGGGTAGAGTCTGCCTCTCTCAGTGTAGTTCTCGATGAGAGGATGGCCCATCAAAAATGGTGAAGCTACTTGAGCAGTTGCTTAACAACGGAGAATTCTAAACGGCCAATAAGCACATGGAAACACGCCCAACTTTCATGGGGCTCATGAAAAAAATTCCCACTGAAATAGATAAAATTTCAAAAACTGATGTCTCTAAATGTTAAATTGGTTGGGGTCCATCAGAATTTGTGTACCTGGCAGTTCCTCTTTCAGGGCAGGACAAGAGACATAAATGCAAAAGACCAAGAAAAGACAAGAGCAAGAAACTGTCTACATGTCTGTTCGCTAAAATGCAAAAGGAAAAACTGAAACCAGCTCCACTGCCCCGAATGCATGAAGGATAAAGAGGTCTAGGTGCATTCATATAATCAAAGATGAAGTGCAGCTTAATTTAGAGCCACTGACAGACACAGCACAGATGAATGTCATAAACGTTTGTTTGACTCACAGAAGACAGGCCAGAAGCATAATACTGTGGTTTCATCTTATTTATACAGCGTGACAAAGTGTAAGAAGCTAATTGTTGGTGACAGAAATTAGAACACTGGGGGCCACAGAGATGGCTCAATGGTTAAGAGCACTTGTTGCCCTTGCAGAGGACTGGGGTTCAGTTCCCAGCAACCACAAGATGGCTCACAACAGTCTGCAACTCTGTTCCCAGTGAAGATTCAGTGCCCCCTTCTGGCCTCCTTAGGCACTGCATGTACACGATGCACAAGGGTATATGTGTATCTAAAACTCCAGTAGTTGTATACTTAAAATTGGGAGGGGGAGGTAATGTGTGTGTTGTAATAAAATTTTAAGTGTTGGGAGGAGAATTAATTGATTGATTGATTGATTGATTGATTGATTGATTGGCTGTAGGAAGACCTGATAAGATGAGTTCACTCTGCAGTAGGTC